TTTGTGCACTATATTTCGGACCAAAAAATTTCTACATCTCTTTTCTTCCTTTTCTGGACGAAAAAAAATTATTGCTTTCAACAGTTTTCATTAAAAAAAAAAAATTGAAGCAAATTTCAAATTAAATTTATTACGTCAACCATGTTGCAGTGATTGTTCGTTCAAATTTTTCCTAAGATCAAACCACGTATTTCAGTTGTATTGGAAAAAAAAAATTGAATAAGGCGAACTATATTATTTTTATTGAATTATAAACAGTTCCAGTTGCTCCAATTGTTACACTTCAATTATGGTACCACGTCAGAGGCAAAAACGTGCATTGATTCGCGTTGGCCATGGCCAAGGATGCGTGATAAATAGCACCGCATAATAATTATATTTTTGTTACATGTGCCGTTTCGGTGAGAGGAAATTCGCGTGGATTCGCGACGATTCATCGAGCCGCTATTGGCAGCTATGAATCACGGAATTCGAACGTGGCATGCTTGGGAACTCAACCTTGTTGATTTCCAGTTGCCACCACAATTTATTGATCGCTTAAGTCGAGAACGATCTATCGTGCCCTTTCAGCCATATGTTCGAATTTAAAAGCAATATATCTTGGTCGCCACTGTGGGAACGATTCAGAGTGTATTTAGCATGGTGATTTGAACACCAATGACTGAAGCAAGGGATGAACAGAAATTCGGTGAAAGATAAATATTCAAAGGAACCAGATTTTATCTCATTTTGTAGAAATTGCAATCATAATAACGTTTGTGATTAATGTAATCGATAATTACATTGGACGAGCGAGAAAATTCTGTCGTCTCGAAAAAGTATACAATTACTTCCTTTTTAGTAGAATAATTGTTTTTTGAAACAACAGAAGCTACGTAATATTTATTATAACTTATTGTGGCTTATTACGGCTTGTTACTGCCCTCTTTTATAAGATAATTAAGAGTACCTTGCGGCTTCTTTTGTGAAGGAAAAGAAACGTGAAAAATAAAGATTTTGACGAAAAGAATGATATTTCCTTTTTACATTTCTGCATCATTTTTTTATTATCATAAAAGGAACGACAGATGTTAGTTAACTCTTGGTTAACTAACATAAATAAATAATAACCTTATAATTTTTTTCATACTACAAGTATGTAACGCGATATATATTTTTCATTGAATAGGAATAATATGATGAGATTGAAACATTCACAGAATGCAAATAATGTATACAAGCCCGTTTAAAAGATGCTCGAAAACGTTGAACGAACTATCCTTAAATCAATTTTTATAAAGTAAAAGGGTGTGAAGCTTTTCATTATTCATTAGTTCAAGAATTCGGGATCCAGTTTGAAAAGAGATTGTAAGGACAGTTTCTGAACGAAATATTAAATTCAGAGTGACTTATGAATTAAATATTAGAACCTACTAAACGAAGAGTTTTGTTCTGAAAATCACAGAATTTCCCGGCTTATTTCAAAATTTATCAAAAAAGGATTCGCATCGTATTATCTGAAATATTCGTCCTCGGCTCGATAAATCCAGACCCGTTTAATGGATCGTAGCTATTTTAAAAATTTCGTTAGCCACGAGCCATTTCAACCTGTTCCGTTCGATCTCGAAAGAGCTGATTTAACGAACGGATACGGGGATTCCAATCTGAGACGGATAAAGCCGCACGAAAGTGCTATACCGAGGTATGTATTCCTGTCGAAAAGAGTTTCGATCCGACTCAATTTATAGACTTGCATGAGATGCAAATTGAAATGGGCGTTTCGCATCGGCCGCCGCGGAAAAATTAAATCGATGAAGATTATACCGTGCGACGAATAGGTATCGAAGTTCGCGCATTCGACAAATTCTATGTTGGCCAGATTCAATCAAGTGTTTCGATTACAATACATCGAAATGAATCAGTGTGCCAATTTTTTTCGAAGCGTAGATTAATAGTAGTAGACTGTGTTGTACGAAATTATTTCAAATTTCACATAAACGCTGTAGCAAGACACGAAAATGAATGTAAAAATAAATATATAAATGGAATGGATAGCAATTTTAAACATGTAGTTAGTATATTATTGATTTTGCCTGCAATGTGCATATGAAATATGTAGAAGAAATATAGGTGAGACAAACAAGCAGTTAAATTTCATTTCATTCGTTTCGTTCATAGAAATATGAATTTCCATAAACGTTTGCAGTTTAATTATTACGATTCTATTTATTATAATTTTTTATTCACTATGTATTAGTAACAAGTTAGTTATTCTTTTGAATGAGGAAGAAGATTATAATTATTGAAATGTAATTATGTAATTATTAAAATGATAACCTTTGCGTGCCTTTTTAATCTTCAATAACAGCAAAATGTAAGAACATAATCTTACGAGATAATTTATGTTTACGTCGATAATAAACAGACTGACAATTTCATCTGTCTTTTGAAATTTTATATTAGAAAAATAATCTGAAAGTCTCGTGAACATTGCAGGCTCTATTAATAATATTTTGTTTGAAGTTTCCAATCTAAAATTCGCTATGTGTTTATCTCAGACAGACAGATATTATCACCGCGAATTTTCAAACTTCTCCAACTCTTCGACCTTTTTCTGCTTCTTCTCTGTTGAAAACAAAACTTAAGACAATCTAATATAGCAGAGCATCTCTCTCAAAAAGTTTCGACTTCCTCGAAAAGTTCTTATCTTCCTTTGGAAAATTTTTTTTATTAACAACAATATAAAATTGCAACTAATTTCACTTATAACTTTAATAAAAAATTTTAAACTGTGGATATTATTACAACTATATGTAACTGCAAGTGCTCAAATTTCTTAAAATAACAAAGTAACCTGAAACAATTTAACATAGCAGATCTTCGATTTCTTTTTTTTTTAATTTTTAATCGAAAAACGGAGAAAGGTGTAAATTGGAAATAAAATGAGTTTACGGAAATGATGGTGATTAGTTCGAAACGAAGTGAATGTTATTACAGCGATAATGCAAGTTACTCTCATCGAAATGGTAACACTTAAGCTGATTAGATATCGAACACGACGAACTACACAGAAACCTGGAAAAGTAACACTGTTAATTCGCTACACGCTATAACCGGACGTTAGAATTTCATTTCATTGATAGCGTAATGTAAAGTAACAGCGTAAAGCGATATGATAATTTTCTCTTCGGCACTAAAAATAATCGGCTCATATCGATGCGATCAATTTTTTATAGCGCAAATAAATTTCCTTTGTTAACCAGCATATGGTCGAAGAGAATACGTGCTATTCGCGACACACAGGCATAGATTTATCATTAATGCGAAGGAAAAATTCTGTGCTGTAACTGTGTTTGGTACTCGAGATAATTTCTCTATCAACTGTAACAAAAAAAAAAAAAAAAACACGAGTATTCGCAGTATTATTTTACAAATATCGTAAAATACTGTGATGGAACTGTGATTAACAGAATGTTCTCTAGATTTGAAAAATTTAGTAAAATACAGCGAGAAGTGCAATAAAATAAAATTTGGTGCAGCGAGAGAAATATCCTTTAAAATCTCATGCGTTGATTTAAAAGGTTGTACGCTGTCCTAAAAGGTCCTAAAATGTGTTAAAAAATATCGTGCAATGTTTTATTCGCTTTTTAAAATACGTTGAAACATTTGAAATTTCTCCGTGTATCATATTTTCCGTCTTTTATCTTTGAAGAAGAGTTGTATTATACAGGTGTTCATAAAATAATTATTAAATATTTTTAATTAAAGGAGAGCAAAAGTGACACAAGTTTCTTTATCCTTGTAATGCAGTAGACAAGATATTTTAAGCGAGAAGCGTAGTTTAATCCTGTTTAACGTTCGCTGATTTGCGAAAATCCAGTGATATTTTTTCAACGACGATAAATATCTTCTGTTTACAGTGAAATACATGTAAAAGAAGCTTTGCTGCTATCTACGATGATTTTATGGTTCAAGGCTTTCTCGAAACTTCCTTCTTGTTTACTGAAATCAGAGTAAAATTGAAATATGAAAATTCAAGGATCGCAGTAAGATTATTTCTTCCTTTTTTGAAGCTCAAACATTGAATACATGAAATGTTCCTCAAAAATCGGAAATCAATTTTCTAACGCATATGTTTCAATCAACGTTAGAAATTTGTCATTCCGTAACTCTGACATCGGATGCAACACGATAACATTGTAATTCAAGCACAATTGATTGAACTGCAGGCCTAATTTGTAATCCACAGACATCTAGCACAAATCAATAGCTCTTTCATCGACCTTCCACTATGCGGACCTGTTGTTTTCACGTCTGTCGTTTGATCAATTAATTAGGGTAATTATTCTGTCGCTTTGTCTCCCTCGAAGGGATCCGCAGAATTATGCTCACATTTAATCAATCATCATTTGTTCACTATGAAAATAGTCTCACTACCAATTAATTATAATTTTGGTTGTCATGGATATTCAGTATGATTCACTTTCATTTTTTTTTTGAGAGAGGAAGAAAGACATTTAAAACGTTATTTCATTTTATCTTCTTTTCCTTCTACGGGCAAATTATTGTTTCGTATTAGAAATTGCGCGAGATGAATTAAAAAATTTATTTTTGTAAATCTTCTAAATACCGTCCCGAATCTCCTATTTTCGGAAACTATTCTCTTAACAACGTTGATAAATTAAATGTATCTTATATAACTTTAATAAGTACCATTAATTTCTTACTAAATAATAAAATACTAAAAACTACAAACGTTTTTAAAAGCAAATTTCACGCGTGATATTCAAATTTTCAAACGATCTTTCACTGTGTTAAATAATACCTTATTATAAATAACTCGTTTCTATCGGTCATCAAAAGCTCTTTCATTCTCAAATTATACAAAACCGATAGTATTCCTCTATGAGAAAGATTAAAGTAAAATAAATATAAGTTGATTGAAACTCGATGTGTACATACAGTATATGTTGCAGTGATATCGCATTAGTGGTAATTTATTTGTTCATTGAATTGCAGTTGCATCTCCGCCGGATCGAAGAGCCACCAGAGACGATATTACAGTGTCCCCACCTGGTGCATCCCCGAACGTTAATGCAACGACGAGCTGCACTGGTACATCGTCTCGATTGCACAATCCTTCCTCGCCTGGTCGAAATGGCCAGCTATCGAGTAAGTGACTTTTCAACACGATTGTTGTGCAATATATTACGAGCCTAGAATTACGTATTTACTTTACGAGGTTATTCAACCTTACCTATGATTAAATAACAAATATTCATGAATGAATTTGAATGAAATAAAGCTTTTTTCCGACGAGTATGGAGAGTTCTCATTTTCTATAAAAGATGCTTTTTATCACATGTAGTTAGTGTCGACAATTTTATTGAATTAATCAGATGAACTTCGCATTATCTTCGTAGGATTAATTTGGTCGGATTGTGATAACTGAATGATGTAAATGATTTTAATGTGATTGTGATAACAAGTTTAATTTCCTGTAATTGTTTTTAACATGTTCATACGGTCGAATACTTTTGTTCGCATTGGCAAATTACTTATAAGTGCCGGAGAGTTCTGATGGTGCACAGAATCAGTGCAACAATTGAGTTCTTCCATTTTTACATAATTAGTACAGTTTATTGGAATAAATTTTATAAAGCGTAGGTAGCGTAAAAAATGAATGACTCATTGTTTCGAACGAGGAATTACCATTTCTATGTACAGTTAGTCATAAAATATTGAAATATTTAATGAGAAGTGTTTTTAACTTTTTGAAGGCACTTGTACGATGACATTTTCATTTATTGGAAAACATAAAATTACAAAATCCATTATACAATAAGGAATGCGATGATTATTATAATTAAAATAACTTTTATTCGCTTCAGTATTGTAATCATTATATATTTATTGTAATTAATACGTTCTTTAAAATGTTTGAAATAAATTAATCATAAAATGCTATAAAAACATTTCCCCTGTTTCAAACATTAAAAGTTTTTTACTTGTGTGACTAGCTGTACGTGCAGAATTCTCTGTTCATAAAATTAAAAGTTCATCGTTCGATCAAGATTTAACGAAGTTTTTACGATCCTATTACCGGAGAGCTCGCGCTGAATCGCGAAAGCAAAGTAATTTTCTTTGAACAACGATAAAGTTACCTCTCATACGTAAAATTCTCTAGTTTCCGGGTTAAACGGAGTGCCGTTTAATACGTTCCGTGTCTTTTATGTTTCCAGAGCAAGGCACATTAACGATAGTACGTCGAAGTTCTTGCAAGAATAAGAGTATCGGCGGAAGTTTCGAAAGTTCGCCGCCGCCGCACAGTCCTGACACTCTTTCGTCAAGCCAGTCCGTGGATCTCGATGAGATCCTTGATAATGTCGATCTAACGACGGACTCGCTTCCTGCCGTTGACACCCCCGACGCTTGCGACAAGGCTGCTCTCAGGTATGCTTTCCGCAACACTTGTTCTCCTCCTTTTCAGCCGTGTCTCGCGTATATTGCCTCGTCATCTCTCGCGTTAACTTGCATAATGCGAGTATGCCACAAACGATGAAAAATTGTCCATATTTTAAAGTGCGAAACCATATAACAACTCATTTGGTCTCGTTTCAAAGCGTAAAGCTTCTATCTTGATAGTCCTAAATTCATCTTTCTTAAAGAGATTAAATTATTCAGTGGGAAATGAAGGACAGTTTTATTCTAGATACGATTCTTCAAAGCCCATTCGGGCCCATATTCGACGCGATTTATATTATTATTTTTTATAATTCATTTAAAATCAAAATTTAATATGCAATTTACATTAAATATAATAAATCTAAATTAATAAAATAATATATTAAACATGTTATGATGAGCATATTAATTTGCTTAACTATAAATGTTTACTGTATAAAAATTAAAACACAGTTTATTTAAATATAAAGTAAAAAATTACATTTAATTTCGACTTAAAAATTAATCTTTATTGATTTGTAATTAGTTAAAATATTCATGATAAATAACCTATAATCTATTCAATAACCAATGTCAATAGTATTGTAAATATGAATGTAATTATAATATATAATACATACAGATAGTTTGAATATTTTAAGTAAAAAACTATTAGAATTATTATAGTAATTTCAATGTCAAAAATCAAAAATAGCAATCTTACTAAAAAAAAATGGCATTGAAAGCCATCTTGAAGATTGGTAGTTTTAACGACTTCTTAAAACTTGCTGCATGATTTCTTTTTTTCTAACTTTAAATATTAAAGTTAAATAATAAAAATTCAAGAAATCCTATATTTTTGTAAATACGATAAAGCAATCATCGAGGATTTATCAAAATCATTGAAATTTCTATTTGAGAATTATAAATTGCATTTGGTTGAGCTAACTGGGAACAGTTTACTAATTTTCCCCAATACGCATTATTTTTCGTACAAATAATAAGAATAATAATATGTTCTCATTAGTGGATTTAATTGGCAAAGATTTAGTAAATCAAACGTTAATTAAAATTTCATTCCAATAATTTACTGTGTGGAGAATTTATATGTATAATATAATAGAAAATATGCCAATGTATATATATAAAATATATATATAAAAATTATAATATGCCAAAGTATATATATAAAATATATATATAAAATTAATATAACCTTAAATATGTGATCAGTTTCCCTTTTATAGCCGTCTTCATAAAAATTTGATTTTACACTTCTATTGGAAAGTTTTAGAACAGATATTATATTTGGAGAAATTAAGCAGTACCTGTAAAACAGTTCCTAAAACTTTTGAGCGGAATGCCAATATAAGCATAGAGATTGTAAATAATAAAATTTCCAATAATGGAAATCTTCAATTATAAAGAATTAAATGAAACGTACATATTTTTCTTTCCATTATTAATGAACATTGACAAATACATCAGTAAAGACGGTATTTTCTATAAAACTAATTGATAATTCAAGGATCAAAAGGAGATGGATATTACCCTTCCAAATTGTATCAAAAGAAATTTATCAACAGTGACAGCGATTTTCAATTATTTATGCTACATAAAAATGTAAATCTCTGTTACAGATTGAGATGCTTATTGAGGCAGCTACAACACGGCGAAATATCAGCAGAATTACTCCAACGAAATTTACACTACGCGGCACGTGTTCTCGAAGCCGTGTTCCTCGATGAAACCAAGTAAGTTTCGCTCAAAATGTTAATTAATAATCATTCCTGTAAACTTTAATATCTTTAATAATGTTGTGCCAGTTTATTTCTATTGTAGCAACATGTAGCAGACAACAATTTCCTTCAAGAAGATTTCAATGTATTATACGTGTATTATACCTATATCTTATGTGTATCATCAAGAATTTCGAATTTATTACTAAGTTGCACACATCTGCCCCTAAGCATATTCATTCAATCAAATTTAATAATTCAACTTGCAGGTGACACAGTCAATCGATCACTTACGAATACGTAATTTATTCGCTATTGTTACTGTGATTATTGTTACTAACATCCAATGACTTATATATTTTTATAAGTATTTTCTATGCGACATGTGACATTTTGAATGACTCACGACCCTTGAAAAATACGAAAATATTTTGAAAATAATAGATTATATTTTTTTTGGATACGTAGACGTAACATATTTGTATATTATATATATATATATCATTTAAGATAGTAAAAATAAATATTTATTTGTGATATTATAATGGAGATATCGAAATTCACTATGACTAGTGATTCAAGTAGTAAGGATATAAAGAGTGCCTCTTTAGCTCAGTGGTAGAGCACTGGTCTCGTAAACCAGGGGTCGTGAGTTCAATCCTCACAGGAGGCAATCGGATTTTTTATTTTTCTTCCTTTAAATTATATTGCAAAGTTCATCGAACATTTCTCAACGAAAGTTCCACAATTTTTCACAACTGTTTTTATATTCCTTTTTTATGAATTTTTTCATGCTGTTGTTATTTGCGATCTGTTTATGTTCATACTGTTCACAAGATTTTGTATACCTTTAATATCTCTAACTATCCGTTTTACGCTTGCATTTACTTCGCATTGTCATTATATTTTTATTTAAACATATGCGTTATTTATGGATTAGTTTGTTTCTTTATATTAGACAAATAAAAAGCCGATACGCTTCATATTCCTGACGTTTGTTTTTCTTCTTTTCTTTCTTCTTTGTTCCTCGAATTTTCGTTCAAATGTCGAAATTGCAACACCGTTTATCCATGGCTGACGAGACGATCAATACTTCAGGATCGCAAAGTTGCTCCCGGCGAAAAATATCCAAATGTCTTTCAAATTTCTCAAGAATAATGCTAGAAAATCATAATATGATGTAGAATGTAGTTTTTTCAATGCAACAATTTTTCCTTAAATTATTGCTACGCAACGGATGTATATAAAAACATGCAATTTCACACACAGTTAATCTATATCAATTTCGACCGATGTTCCTCATTTCTCCAAATATTCGTCCATACGATGATTAACATACTCCAGCAGCGACGAGAATCTCTCCGCTCCGGTCTACACGATTGCTCGCAGCTTCGCATATGTACATAAATATACCTAACCCTGATCTTTTCAGAGTCTACGTGTACATCGGCGAGATTAACTTTATTAACCCTTTGCCGAGAGCAAACGTACATTTCTCAGAAACAGGTTCTCCCAGGTGGATAGCAGCACTCATCGTACCTGTTCGTTTGACGGCGCTATAATGCTAATGATTATAAATAAACGCAAAAAAAAAAAAGTGTAATGTTCTACTGTTCTGTTGCCTCTACTTGATACGTGCACTAACAAGCAGTACCGCAGGGTGAATTCAGGAGGGGTTGAGTGCTCTCGGTCATCACGTAGGGGTGCAAGCCTGTCGTCTGCATCCCTGGGGAGCGCCTTGGACCCGGACGGACAACAGGGCCACGCGGTGGTAACCCAGAAACGGAAGCTTCGCACCCCCGTATGGGCAAGGTTGCGAAATATTCACAATTTCCGACCTCACACGACTTGTTTCACCTACTCCCTCCCCGTTCTCTCGAAAATCAGACATCCGTCGAGAAATCTTGTTAACCTAAAGATTATCCATCCGCCATGTTCCACTGTCCTTCTTCCTCCCCCACTCTCCTCCTACCTTCTCCACATTTTCTCTTTCGATCTCATCCGAGCTCGTTGTTAAGGATCACGATCATGCGTCGTTCGCTCTGATCATTTAGGGGAATCGAACCTTATCGGGTGAAACGATAGCGAGTTGCCGGACCGATTCGATCGATCGGTCGCTGATAGTTGAAAACTGAATGCGACGCAACCGGGGGTGAGAGTTAATGTGCGAACGTTAGCTTCCGGACGAACGGTCTTGAAAAACGATCTCGTCGCATCTC